TTGTTCGCGTTATCCTATATATTCGATGACCGTAACTTCGATGTACTATATTTTGAATAAAAGCAAGTGGTAGTAATAAATAATTCAGTATAAGATATCAAAATAATTAATCAAAAAAAAATTATATCCCATATTATGCTCACATAATTGCTAATGCTCTGGTCTCATTGAGTGAGTCAGACTCAATGATTCTGATTGCATTCAAGACAAACAAGACATATATTTTTTTCAATATAATCTAATTTATTATCAATTTGATCCACTGTCTATTGATCAGGATTTCTAGCTTTATTCTATTCTCACAATATTTCATTAAGATATAATTCATATTTATTTTTTTTGCAAATCTTTTAATACAAGGATATAATCAACAGATAAGTTAAATTTACAACTTTTTTTCTTATCTTGATCCATATATCCTATGAGTTTTTTAGAAATAAATAGTCTCAATGAACATTTGATAGCTTTTTTATTTTTTGCATCTTCAATCTCAGAAGGTAATGAGAGACCTTCAATTCAAATAAGTTGGCTCAAATATTCTATATGACCAACTACGAGATAAATTAGATTATCCTAGACTAAATTTTCATCAATAACTCAAACATGTTGTAAAGCTTTGAGTATCATTCCCTGACTGGTATAAATAGTCATTACATATCCAAGTTCCCAATCTATAGCCTTTTCTTTTTCTAACATGCCTTGTAAGAATTTATCAGGAAGTGTATTTAAGGTAAGTATATTATATTATTTTTCACTAGCTCCTTTTTTTTGGATAAGCTAGGGATCAGAACAAGACAATTTTGTTTGCGTCCATCTTTTGGTCTATAAATTAATGAGATTGAAATTTTGGGATATTTTGTACAATGAAGCTTAAGACATATTTGTGATGCAAGTCTTTGAGAAAGTCGATATGCTGATAAAATTTGATCTGAGGGAACCATTCTTTTTCGAGATATTTCCATTTTTTTATAACTGGAATTGCTTTATGAAATAATTCTGATTGTACTTGATTATTTTTACAACGTATTCCCTTTTTGAGTTTACATAATTTAAGATATTTGGCCTGATAGTCAGTCAAAACTTCCTCATAATAATCAGCTCATTTTTTTAACCAGCTATAGAGCATTTCTTTAAAGAATAGTGGAGGTTGGGCATCATTATCGCAACAAATTACCTGACATTTTTGCTCTAATAAGTAATCGATAAACTTTTCTAAAATGTGTTTAGACACTGTACATACTTTATTCTATATAACAACTCACAGAAATTTTTTTCTTCCATATGTTCAGAAGTTTACTCTTCTATACCATTCTATTTAAAGAAACTATACCAAGTTTGGGCTTTTATCTTATGGTCATTTTGGAAATCTTTGGCCAATGCATTTGTATAAGTGAAAACAACTATGTTTATATCTTTAAAAATTTTGATAGCTCATGTAGTTTTACTAGATCCACCTACTTTATTGAGATATGAATTTCAATATCATGTAATAGGATCATGAATTGATGGAGCTGTACTATCTAGAATATCTTTGATCGATTCCTAATACCTATTCTTTAGCCAGTATACAATATTAGCAACTAGTCTATATATTTTTTTACCTTTATCATGCTATTGACCAGGTTGAATTTCTTGAACTTCTTGTTCTTCTTGCTGATTTAACTGTTTTTGACAAAAATCCAATTTATAAAACTATTTTCCAAAGCAAAATTTGCAAACAAATGGAATATGCATTTTACATTCATATTTTACTAGAGGCCTTTTTGTTTTTTAAAAACTCTTTAATCCATTTTGCATATTCTGATTTTAAAATAAGAAATTCTTCTCGATTGCTATATATTGCACAAAAGGATAGTATGAACATAAATTTGGATCTGACTTTACCTCAACTTGGTTGAAGAATGCTGGTATATTTTTGATCTTATATAATGCCT